CTTATAGGCTGTTCATTTACTCCTTTTTCTTATCAGTGCAGCCCTTGTGACCATAGTGTCTCATCCAAAAATCCAATGGATTCCTCCATCCATGTTTAACAACAACAGATGGAAGAATTACTCACTGTGGCTATTGTGTTTTGATAACTAGTCCCGTTGGCTTTCAAGCAGCTGTATCTGAGGGAATGCACCTGCTTTTTGGCAGCTCCTTTTATTTTACAAACAAGGTGACTTACAGGACCACCCACTGAGCAGATTTCATCTAGTCCTGAGTAAAAAAGTGTATGGCCACCTTTACTCCCCCTTTCAAGCCTGTAGGTTCCCAGTCATTAATCAGTATTATTAACATACCTAAAATCATCCAAAAAAAATCCTTATAACATTCGTAACTTTTTTTGTATTTATTTTTTAGTATATATTTTCTTCAAGCATCAGTTAAAATGTTCTTGTTCATTAGAAACTGGAGACTACTTGTTTCACAGACCTGTACACATTTGTATTAAATGAAATGGGAACTTTCAGAACACATGTGGTTCAGCCCAATCTCTGGTGAGTATTTCCCAGCATTTGAGGTCTGTTTTTCAATGTGATTAGGATCGCTACCCTAAGCGCTACATTGAAGTGTGTTGACCCCTGGGGGTCCCAGCATGGAGGTAAGCATGCATGCTAGCAGGTGGTGGATTCATTTGTTGGAGTGATCACCGGATGTTGTCACCGACTGAATGAACACAGAGTTGTTTGGACTGTGCACATTAATATTGTTTTTTGGTCACATTGTCGTTTCTTCACTATTTTTTGGCACATGGGGTTTCTACGTCATGTGATTCAAGACGTTCTAGTACCTTGGTTTTTTAGTTATTCACTTCACTCTTCACTTGAGCTCATTCCATTTTTTTTTGTTCACTATTCCCCTGATGATTTCTCATTCTATTTGTCACTACATGTATTATTTTATTATTTTCACCTCATTGGTTTTTATTCACAAGATTGAGGTATAGTTCATGATCCACTCTTTTATTTGTTCACATATTCTATTTATTTTACTTATTTATATTGAGTTGGGGTAGCGCAGCACCATCCCCCTTGTTCAGTTTTTCAATGTTGTCTTTCAATATTCACATACAGTAACTTCAGCCCACGATTCATACATTTTTGTAACTGAATCTTATATGAAAAATTTGCAAATCCTGAGTGAAAGTTGCATGAATCATAGATAAAAGCTTGTTATGAACAGACCTTATGGTGTCTAAACTATAAACTTTAGTTGGATATGAACTATATGGCCTACCTGACATCACACATCCTTTTATTCAAAGTCTTCCCAGTTGGCCAGTACACCTCTCATGCATGTTCCTCAGAGACTCTTCTTATTTTAACAGAGGGCCTGTCCTAAGATTGGCCTACCTTTAAAATGAATGGAATTTGCAGCGCATACATGCACTCACCGGCTACACTGTTCTGGACAGCCCAGACAGTTAATGTCACATGCAGGGGCGAACTGACAACTCATAGGGCCCCCGGGCAATAGGAAATCATGGGGCCCCTGTGTCCTTGTCCACACTCAAACCACACCCAAAAAAGCCTATGAAAGATACCACGGGCATCTCATGGGGCCCCTACTGACCCCGGGCCCTCGGGCAGTGCCCGAGTGGCTAAATGGTCAGTCTGCCCCTGGTCACATGGGCCAGTCAATTTAAAGCGGAACTAATATTCCACTGTCACAAATTGTGAGCAGAGATATACAGTGCATGTCTTTTCTGCAATAAAGGGAATACTGGGCATATAGGAAAACCAGCAATGGCTGCGAGTGCTGATCAGAGTATCCAGGCAGGGGGGGGGGGGCATCTCCCTATCAGAACACAATAGCTCAGCGTGGAGATCGCTGCACTATGTGTTAGTATGGAGATATGTACGGTGTCTTTTTTATTCCGCCCTCTGGATTGAAGGAAAAGACCTTCCTGTGTGTACCCAGAATTAAGCTGTCCACAGATGCATCAAACTTCAGCCGGTTCAGCAGGGACTGGACACATTTTGATCCATCTATGGTCATTCCTGCTTGACAGGGTACAGAATGTTGGAATACTTTCATGCGATCAGCAGCTGCAGTCAATAGGCTGCGGTTCTAATTAGTGTACTCTTACTGTGGAGGAATCACTGCTGTCAGATTACAATAGCATTGAGTAGATGGGGGAATCTGTTTGTTCTGAAGGGGGGATGGGGTAATTTGTCATCTGAAGTTTGAAGAAGGCTTTAAATTCCATACATCTATAAGTGATGTTTATGTTATGGGTTGGTAATTTTGGTTTGAATTATTCCATAATTTCTTATATCTCTCAAGAACTCCAACGGTATGATATTTTGCCTCTACAATCCCAAAAAAAGAGTTTCACGCCCCATACTGTATCCTTCATACTGTTAATGCTGAAATTTAATTTATTTTTCCTTCTTGTTAAACACACAATTTACATTTTCTGTTTTTGTTAAAGCGGAGTTCCACCCAAAAGTGTAAGCTCCACTTTTCTGCCTCCCCCTCCGCTGTAACATTTGGCACCTTTAAGGGGGGGGGGGGTAGCAGGTACCTGGACAGGTATCTGCTCCCAATTCCAGCTTAGGTTAGCACGGCCAACTGAGCCATAGGTTCAGCACCCCTGCATCCCTTCACTTTGTGAATGGGTTTCAGTCCTTTAGGACCTTGAAAGTGTCCCAGAGGACTGCAACCCATTCACAAAGCGCAGCAGCATGCACTGCAGGAAACCGGCGGTGAAGCCATAAGGCTTCACTGCCAGTTTCCCTTAGTCAAGATGGCAGTGCCAACACCCGACAGCCGATTGAAGAATGATTGCATGGATAGGTAAGTGCCCTATTATTAAAAGTCAACAGCCACAGTATTTGTAGCTGCTGACTTTTAATTTTTTTTTTTGGAGGTGGCAGGGGCCACCTTTAAGTAACTTTAAACCCTGCGATGTCATCACTAGTTGCCTGTGCTTCTCTATACAGCCTATTTCAACCAGGGTGACCAGGCACATTGGGGTGCCTTCAGGTTTCTTCAGGAGTTCCCTTGCAACATGCCTTAGTTACACAAAGCTGCAGGAACTTACTGTGCACCATTACAACCTTCTAGCAGCCAGTGTCTTAACAACTAATTATGTCAACAGTTGATAAGAAGGACTTTGAACGCCTACAAAGCATGTTTGTTTGCCCCTCCTCTGCCACTGTATCAGCACTGGGGTCACATTACCTGAGTGAGGGAGAGAAACTACTGCTGGCCATAGACGGGTCGTTTATCAGCCGAATTTTCATCCGCAAGAAAAATCAGCTGATATTCACGCCGTTAGTGAGGCAATGCCGTTGGCTGTTTTTCGTGGATCTTCTCATTTCTTTTTATCGGTCATGCTGGAAAATCCACAAAAAACGGCCGTTTTTCGTAGACATTGGTGGCAGCATCGGTGACAGCAATGACCGATTTTTCGTTTATCGGCCAACATGTAGCCAGCCTAAGGGAGAAGAGAAACTTTGGAATACTAGTCTGTACCAATGTGCAAAGAGTATTTGCTTTGTAAACACACAACAGTAAAATCAGTCTGTATATGCAGTCAAGTATGCTTGTCATACTCACTTTGGAACCTAAGGGGTTATTCTTCTGCATTGTGTAAAAAGGCTGTTTGATCCTGGCTTATCCTATCTTCCCTTTCTTCCTTTGTTCCCGACTCATCTCCTGATAACACAGAGTCTTTGGAGTCACTCTGCACATGCTCAGCTTAGTGTGTACGTGCTATGGAGTTTTTTTTCCTTTGGGAGAGTGCATGTGATCAGCACAGGGCCAATCAGCACTGTCCAGTCAGAGGGTCAGGGGTTATGCAGCCTCATACCGTAGTCATAGGAGAATTAAAACTTTTCTTACAAGCTTTAACCAGTGCTCTGCTGGACACTGATAGAAGTCACAAGACTGCTCCAACTGCTGATGAGAAAAGGTATTTAGCAGTTTATATTTACTAATATAATTGCATTTCTATGTTCTGTGTACTGTGGGAGACTAGATATAGTGAATGCAGGGTCCTGGGTTTAGTAACACTAAACTCATGTTGAGTAATTATAAATCTGATGTGATCACGTGGATGCATGTAAAAAATGTATTTACACAGCAGTTTGTGATAAAGGGCATGCAAGGCCATGAAGAGATAAGGAGAGGGAATATTATAATAGTTTTTTTGATAGTTAACCTTTCCTTCTCTTATAAGTGTATAGCCATGGGGTAAAGCATTGCAAGTTTCATATTACCAACTTAATCATTAACACCACTAACCTGATCAAATCCACGTTTAAAATGCTGCAAAGAGGAGTCCTGTCCTGTCCATTACTGTGCATGTAGAGCTTTTTGTTTCAGGACTTTGGAACATGCCACATGGTAGGTAAGGAAGGGAAGAGGCCTCCTCCAATATTACCACCTTATGACAGGACAGCATTGAGCCTTAGACCTCTCTGTTTCTTAGTCCCATATAGGAGTATCCGCTAGCTATTCCCTTGTGGAGATGAGTGTAGCCTTCAATTGATATACCGTATTTTTCGCTCCATAAGACGCACCTGACCATAAGACGCACCTAGGTTTTAGAGGCAGAAAACAGGAAAAAAAAATTCTGAACTAATGGACTGCAGACATAGTACAGGAGATGACCAGAGACTGCGGACACAGTACAGGAGATGACCAGAGACTGCGGACACAGTTCAGGGAATGACCAGAGACTGCGGCCACAGTACAGGAGATGACCAGAGACTGCAGACACAGTACAGCGGATGACCAGAGACTGCGGACACAGTACAGGAGATGACCAGAGACTGCGGACACGGTACAGGAGATGACCAGAGACTGCGGACACAGTACAGGGGATGACCAGAGACTGCGGACACAGTACAGGGGATGACCAGAGACTGCGGACACAGTACAGGAGATGACCAGAGACTGCGGACACAGTACAGGAGATGACCAGAGACTGCGGACACAGTACAGGGATGACCAGAGACTGCGGACACAGTACAGGAGATGACCAGAGACTGCGGACACAGTACAGGAGATGACCAGAGACTGCGGACACAGTACAGGAGATGACCAGAGACTGCGGACACAGTACAGGAGATGACCAGAGACTGCGGACACAGTACAGCGGATGACCAGAGACTGCGGACACAGTACAGGGGATGACCAGAGACTGCGGACACAGTGCAGGAGATGACCAGAGACTGCGGACACAGTACAGGAGATGACCAGAGACTGCGGACACGGTGCAGGGGATAACCAGAGCTGCGGACACAGTACAGGGATGACCAGAGACTGCGGACACAGTACAGGGATGATCAGAGACTGCGGACACAGTACAGGGATGACCAGAGACTGCAGACTGCACAGGGATGACCAGAGACCGCGGACAGCACAGGGATGACCAGAGACTGCGGACAGCACAGGGCCGCGGAGTTGTTCTTTCATCTTACCTGTTCCTCTATCCAGCCGCGTGCTGTCTTCCCGGCTTCTGTAATGGCGCTCGGCATGACAGCCGGGTGCCCAATGCGCATGAGCGAGAAGCACTTGCGCTTTGTGATTGGTCCGGCGGCTTCTGGGATCTGTCATGTGTCCCAGGTGCCGCCTTACCATTCACAAAAAGCACCGCTTCCTGCGCATGCGCACTTGGCACCCGGCTGTCATGCCCACACTACAGAAGCCGGGAAGACCGCGCCGCTGGATAGAGGAACGGGTAAGATGAAAGAATAACTCCACGGAAGTGGGAGCGGGTATCTGTCAAATTCAGGTACCCGCTCCCCCCCCCCCCCTCCCCAAAGGTCAGCAGTCATCTCTATAAGGTCCCGCTGTAGAGCTGAGCGGCCGGCCGGTATTCTGACACGGCGGCAGTGGAAATACCGGACCGGCCGCTCCATATTCGCTCCATAAGACGCACTGACATTTTCCCCCCTTTTTTGGGGCGAAAAAAGTGCATCTTATGGTGCGAAAAATACGGTAATCAATATGAGTCATAAACCAATTGTGATCACAAATTGAGATCAGTGGAATTGCATACATGTCTTGTTTCTCTTTCACTGCTGGTACTGATGAACCAGAGTTATCTATGAAACCCTTTGACTACAAACTGCTGTCTGTAAAATGGGACACTTAGTATAGTGCACTATATTGAGCATCATATACGATTCTTTTAACCACTAGTGGACCGCCCGCAGTACATTTACTGCTACAAGGCGGCTCCTGTGCGCAGGATCATGTATATAAACATGATTAGCGCTCCCACTGTTTTCGCAGGGCGGGGGGGGCGTGCGCGTCCTCGCCGACACGCGGGTGTCACGATCCAATCCCCGAGGGTTCAATCATTCGACTTAGGCCAGTGATGTCTGGCCTAAGTCGGATGATCAGTGCTTGTCCTATCCTGTCCTGTGTTGACAATTTCACAGGACAGGCTATGACGTCAATCTTCTTTGCTTGGGCACATTCCATCCCAGAGAGAGAAGAAAGAACACAAAACGTGAGTAAAAGCATTACACTTACAGTTTAGAACACCCTAGGTCACATTTAACCCCCTGATTACCCACCAAGTTAACCCCCTTCACATATTTTTTACAGATCACAGTATTAGTGTCACTGGCAACTTCCGATAGCGTTAGCGCCCCTCCCAGATAGCGTCAGTTTGTCTGCTAGTACACCAGTAATCACATTTAACCTCTTGATCCCCCCCCCCCTCCATTTAACCCCTTCACTACGCTGTCATCAGTGTCATTAGTACAGTGCACAGATATTTTTGCTGATCACTGTATTAGTGTCGCTGGCGACTTCAAATAGCGTAAGCGCCCCTCCAAGATAGCGTCGGTTTGCCCGTTAGTACACCAGTAATCACATTTAACCCCTTGATCGCCTCCCCCCATTTAACCCCTTCACTGTCCTGTCACCAGTGTCATTAGTACAGTGTACAGATTTTTTGCTGATCACTGTATTAGTGTCACCAGCGACTTCAGATAGCCTTAGTGTCAGTTAGCGCCCCTCCCAGATAGCATCAGATTGCCTGCTAGTACACCAGTAATCACATTTAACCCCTTGATTGCCAGGAACACACTCACTTACACAATAAACCTCCATTGCTAGTATAGTGTCTGAATGGATCAATATTTTTGATCAGATCAGCACTATATCAGTGTTCACATTAGTATAGCATCCCCAAAAATGCAGCATTAGCGGGATCAGCCCCGGCACCTGCCAGCACCTGCGTTTAGCCCCTACATTTACCCCCCCCCCTTCTTCCCCAGCAAGTGCAGTGTCAGTAGATCACTGTCACTTGGTACATTGTATACAAAACCGCAGTGTTCACAGAATCAGTCCTGATCTCTGTTAGCACTTGCCGGTAAATTTTTTTGTAGCGGTTCAAGCAGTCCCTGACAGCCAAGCGCTCTTTTTCCCATGAGTCGTACTAGGTACCCATAAATTTAATGGCCAAAATGTCCAACCAAAGGTACACTAGTGAAGAAGCCTACAGGATTCTGAGCATGTCAGGTGAGAGCGAAGGGGAAGACTCACTGACAGAATCAGGCTCAGAATGTGAACTTGTAGACATCAGTGGCACCCTGACAGTTAGTTCAGATGACAGAGAAGAGGTCCCTGCTAAGATCAGGTGTACCTGACCCCATTTCCAGGTTAATGAGATGTTACAAACGCATGATGATGCTCATATGCAGCAGAGTGCCAATACTAGTGCTGCTCTACCTTTTGGTGAACTGGCGAGCACCAGTGGCCTAGTACATCCTGGTCCTTTTCATACCAGTACTGCAGTATCACTTGGTGACGTGGCGAGTCCATAAGTGCAGTACAAGCTGGTGTGGTGGTGAGCACAAATATTGTCCCGCAGTCAACAAGAATTCACACACAGGCCTGTAGAGCCCATAGTGTCCTTCTGGACGTGCTTGCAAATCTCGATTGGCAGCCCACAAATTCTGCAGCACCCGTACTACCCCCATTCACTTCCCAAGCCAGAATTCAGGTAGAAACAGCAAATTTAAATACTCCCCTTGATTTTTTGGAGCTGTTTTTCACAGAAGATATGTATGCATTGATTGTGGATCAAAGCAATTTATATGCACAACAGTTTATCGCCACCAACCCAAATTCAAACCTTGCCAGACCATTTGCATGGAAACCCATTACAGTTTCCGAATTTAAAGTTTTTTGGGGCCTAAACCTAAACATGGGCATTACTAAAAAAAGTCAATTGCAGTTGTATTGGTCCACAGATCCAAATTCATCATATGCTCATGTTCTCTGCTGCCATGGCCAGGCATAGATATGAGAATATAATGCATTTTATGCATTTCAGCGACAACACACTCAGTCGTCCTCGGGGTGACCCTGAATTTGACCGGCTCCACAAAATTCGTCCCCTTGTAAATCACCTTAACCAGAAATTTGCAGATATATATACTCCGAAGCAGAAAATCTGCATTGATGAGTCCCTTTAAACATTTGTACAATTGTGGAAATGGCGCATGTGGCACTGTGCGACCTAATTGCCGAGGCTTCCCCCAAAGGCTTGTAAAAACCCGTCTTAGAAAGGGGGAAAAAAGCTTGCTTGAGAAATGAGGAATTGCTTGCAGTGAAGTTGTCGGGGATCGCCGCGGCGCTGGTCTCGGCGCAGGCGCAGTGCACCGCCCTCTGCAGGGACATGGGCACTAGGGCCAGGCCGACCGCGGCGATCGAGCTCGCGCATGCGCAGTAGAGGCCGCGGGTGCACGCCTGGCACCAATGACAGCGCAGGGCGGGATATTTAAATGGCCCTGAGCTGTCATTCAGTGCCTTCTGGTCTTATCCTGTATCCTGTATTGCGAACCTGTTTCTTGTAAGTTGCTGACCCGGATTGTGCCTGACCCTGCTGTATTCTCCTGCCCAGACCCTTGCTTTGCCTGACCTCTCTCCTGGATGCCCCCTATTGGATCTGACCTGCTGTTGCTGACCTGGCGTGTGACCCGACTATTCTCTGCCCCGCTGCTTTGTACCGCACCGTCCCCATAGTTACCAACCCGGCCTGCCTGACTTTGCACTTGCTCAGCCATCCATCCATCCATCCCTCTCAACGGGGTCTCCAGACCTCCTCATATCAGGCTCTCTCCCGTGGAAGCCCCTGGCGAATACCCCTACCACTGACGGGTATCCTCAGTAGTCACGACCTGGTCCCGGGGTACACCAAGTCCATCCCCACCATCAGGGGCCCTGGTGAACAAGTACTTTGGTGTCGCTGGGCGGTCCCTTACAGAAGTGGAAAGACAAATGGGATGTTTGCATCCTGTCTTCCATTCACGCAGATATGGTCATCCAAATTACCACAGCAGCTGGTGTTGTTGAGAAGCCCCTCTGTGTCCACGATTATAACCTTATCATGGGAGGGGTGGACTTCAACGACCAGATGATGAATCAATACTTAGTTTGTGTCTGTTTATTTCAATTGACTCTGTATAATGCTTTTGTGCTTTACAAAGCAACTGGATGTAGTAGATCCTTCCTAAAATTCCAGGAAGAGATCATCACGGCCCTTTTGTATCCAGAAGGTGCTGTGGCCCAAACCCCCAACCCAGATGCAGTTAGCAGGCTGCATGAGAGACATTTTCCCGATGCCATTCCTGATACCCCAACCCAAAGGAACCCCCAAAAAAAGATGTTGTGTCTGTAGCAAACATGGAATTAGACGTGACAACCACTTTTTTTGTCCCTCCTGTCCTGGCCAACCTGGCCTCTGCATCAAGGACTGCTTCCATCACTACCATACACTAGTGGAGTATTAGTATAGGGTACAGCACAGGACAGTTCAGGGCACATATTTACACAGGGTCTCAAAAGATGTTAGGTAGTCAGGAAACTGGCTATCGCATTTGGAGAGACCCTGCAATCTGTTTATAAAAGTTAAAGTTTAAAAAATAAATAAATAAATATAAAGTACAAATTCCAAACAAAATTAAAAACTTTAAAAATCAAAAATTGTTGTAGTTTTTTTGTAGTTGTCGTTGTTGTTACTGTTCTGCTGTTAAACTTTTACTGTTTTATTGTTACTGTTTTATTGTTAACCATTGCTGTTTTCTTTGCAGGAATGCTTTCAGCTTCAGCACCGACCTGTTTATTCTGACAGCAACAAGAACTTGCTCTCAGAATAAACATAAGTAGGTGTGGCCAGCACTGTTGGATGAGATTTTTCATCCGCAGTTAACAAAGAGCTTATATGCCAAAGCATGGGGGCCTGGGTTGGCCAGTAGGTGGATGGCCCCTATGCTTCGGCATATATATATTTTAATATATTTGTTGGCACTTTTCATGTGTACTCACCATTAGAAGTGGGTGGATGCAGGGAGGTATATTCTAATGGTGGGCATACCACACACTTTTTCTGTCAGACATTTTTTCTTGTTTTTTCATTGTCATTGCTGTTTTCACAGGAATGCATTCAACAAAATTAGAAACAGGGTCTTGCTCTCAGAATATACACCCAACAGTGTTGTTGGATGAGCAACAGTAAAAAAAGTATATATGCTGAAGCATGGGGGCCTGGGGTGGCCAGTGGTTGGATGGCCCCTATGGGCATATATATTTTATAATATTTGTTGGCACATTTCATGTGTGCCCCACCATTAGAAGTGGATGGATGCAGGAAGGTATATTCTAATGGTGGGCATACCACACACTTTTTCTGTCAGACATTTCTTCTTCTTTTTTCATTCAGCCCACAGGCTGCATATGCAAAATTAGAACATATCATATACACCCAACAAGGACCAGCAACGTACTGGTACGTCACTGGACTTTGAGTGGTTATACCAGGATGATGCCTGCAGCTGCAGGCAGCATCCTGGTATTGTTTTTTTTCAGCCAGCGATCGGCGTTCATATAAAAGCAATCCTAGTAGCTAATTAGCTGCAGGATGGCTTTTAAAAGCAGCTGGAAAAGATGCCCCCCTCCCCCGCTGCCTTCCACAGCCTTCTTGGGCAGTCCCGTGCCTCAGGGGAACCTGAGAAGGCAGTCAGTGTATCTGCCAGCTGACCATAGAGCTGATTGGAGACCAGAATGCTGCCAGTCATCTTTATAGTCTAAGAAACCAGAAGCTACGATCATTTCATCACTTCAGTTTTGCAGGATATAAACAGCGCCATTTGTAAATTGGGAAAGCATCTGATCACACCGATCTTGGTGAGATTAGATAATGTAAGGGCAGAGGAGATATCTAGAGTCTGATAGACCCCAGATTTCTCAAAAAAGAATATATGACAATGCCCATTGAAGTTATAGGGGATATTTGAATTCCCTGTGATAGCATTAAATGTGATAAAAAAAAAATGAAAGGTACAGTGTACAAATAATTAAAAAATCAAAATAACTTCGCCCCCCATGCGCGCGCACACCTGAGTGCTTAAGAGTTGACCGTGTGCCAGTATGTAAACTGGTTGCACCATGTATGTGAAGTATCGCCACAAATGTCAGATCAAGGGCAGTAATTCTAGCACTAGACCTCTTCTGTAAATCTAAAATGGTAGCTTGTAAAGGCTTTTAAAGTGTTGCCTATGGATATTAAAATGTATGCAGTGATTATGGATTTCATGGCTTTAAACCTGAAATGAACAACCTTGCAGACGAGAGCTCCAAATTATATATTTATTGATAATACAATTGTATGAGAGCACCCATGCCCTGCCCATCAGATGCTCTGATTAGATATGTTACAGTCCATACTTTTATAGGGTTGTTTATGGCTTGTTGCCCAACTTTATGCTTATCAGTTACACTCCAGAATATTTGCCATTTACACTTCGGGATATCTTATCGAGACATTTTATCAAACATTCATCATTACTCGGCAGTTTTTGACAACTTACATAAACGTACATAAAATATCTTTTATAAGCCTTTGGTAGCAGCAGAAGCCATTTTAACTCCAGAAGCCATCTTAGCTGCTAATGGAGTATAATACATTCACTAGCAATAATAGTCATGTCTAATACAATAAACAATAATATATGTATTAATTAATTTAAACACTCTTATTTCAATATAATATATTACTATGATGTAGGATATAGTAAGGATCACCTTTATCCCTATACATTATTCCTTCCTTTTGATCCTTATTAATCATACATCTCACTCCCTCGTACTTATATGTAGAAAGGAGGTTTCACTTCTTTATTTTCAGTATTCTTAACTTCTTATCACACATTAGTTCTTAACAATACAAACAAATAAGAGACATGTAGTCCAGCTGATCCACACATGACCATCAGAAAAAGCTACAGAGAACATCAGGGTTCCCTACATTCTTCCTCTGACCACCTGTCAATCACTAGACCCATCTCCCTTTATCATTCACTGGGTATGAAACCCAGTAGCTTGACACTCAGATGCGGTGAGCCCTGTAATACTTCACTTGTCTCTTACAGGTATGGCTCTCTACCTTCTGCGTCCTTTTGCCGCTTGGCTCTTCTTCAGTGGATGTTACAAAGACTTCTTTACTTACTTGCCTATAGATGGACAACATTCCTTCCCTGTCCTTTACCGGGACATGTAGGTAGGCTAGACCCACCTGTATGTCGGAGGAATGCCTCCAACCGGGGCAGGTACACAACAGAAAGATGCTGTCCTTATGCAATCACACCAGCAAGCACTCATCTTTATTTGCATTTTCACTCTCAAATTGCAAAGCTTCCACACGCTAGCTAAAAGAATATCTCAAAATTTTTATTTTCTTATAGGTCACCCCTCCTTTCTCAGGCACATGATCAATACCTTATACAATTCCTGTAGGATGTCATTACCCACGCTGTTCAGGTGTACTCTGTCAAACCCGAACAGACGTCGGTCCTGTTCACCTCCCATGGCAAGCATCCTGTCCTCCAATCATATTCATTGCTCTGACACACTCCCCAATAAATATATGAGCTTTCTCAATTCGAACTTTCCTCCACATGGGTCTGATAATAATCAATGACATTACTATGTGGGCTTCAGAGAACCTCCTCCTTAGCCAATACATATCCTCCATCATTCTCCTCTCAAGTCCCCACACTGGAGCTCGGCCATCTTTTAAATCATTACTCCCCAGGTGAATAATCACAGCATAGGGGTGTGGTTGGTGTTGGGGTACTGCTCCATTAATGAGATCACGTAATCCTCCCCATCGTAACCCTGGCCTCCCCTCCCACTTTATTTTAACTCCTTCCTGTTCACACCACAAATTTTCTTGGCCTACCCAAAGAGCCCTAGAATATTGCCCTATTAATAGTCTTTTCATTTTCTTGTGGTCTTGGTCTCTGGGGCCATGGATTAAGGTTCTGGCTCCATCCACCGCTAGTTGCTGGTAGATTAGTTAACGCACATTGCCTCCATTCCATATACATCTGGTGAGGCGCTGTGATTAGAGGTCCTTGGGCACCATCAGCCTGAGGATGTTCGATCTCCATTTCATTATATTCAGAGTTGGTTCCTTCCCTTCTCATATTAGGGGATACTGGTGTCAGAACAGGTGGTTCAATGAGTGTACTGATTGGCTGGTCAGGGCCTGGCTCATAGACGGGTGACAACTTAGGCATCTCAGTTTCTTCTATGCCGCTGTCCATTATTCCTTTGAATGGGAGCAACAAACAAATCTGAGTTTTTCTGCAATTCTTCTGCAATTTTTCTGCAACTCTTCTGCTGCAGCCAAGTTTTGTCAACCATATAGGTGCAACATTCCTGTTTTATGGCTACACACAATCCTCCTTGTGATGCAAAAAAAGAATGTCTAGACCCATATGGTTGGCAATTACCTGTCTTTTCATTTCTATTAATTCTTCTGCCTCATCCTTTAGTGCTGCTAAAACATTACCCAGCATAATATTTGTACATTTTCATAACTATTTATTCTAGTTACCATCTCCTGTCCTCACCCTGTCCAGGATGGAGCATAGGTCCATGCCTTAAATGCATCCCCAAATACTGATATGTTATATTTTTGTGCAATGTTAGTCATAGCGTCTGAAGCAGCTTCTATAGAATAGACCTTACTTTCTGTAGATCTCTTCTGTCTATGTCCTTTTTGTACCTTTAACAAATCAGACATATTCACTGGTCTTGTGGCATAAATCAGTTCTGCTATGACACAGGTACCATTAGCTTTTAGGGGCAAACTTTTCCTTGCCTTCCGTCCACACACAAAATTATATGGGTTATGTAGGACTCTTGCCCCAACGTTTTTCAATTCCGACATC